TATTTAAAAGTATATTAATGTCTATAGTTGATGTACCAGTATCAGTCATAAATAATCTAATAGCATTTTTAACTTCACTAACTTATTTATTTTGTAATGCTGCTATTTAATAATAAAGTAACATAATCTTTTGTTTTAATTGTTGTTATGTTTTTTCATTTTTTCCACTAGGATTCATAGATTCATATAAAATATTAAAAAAACCACAAAGTTTTAGATTATAAGTTTCCATTAAGTAGATAAATTCATCAGCATTTTGGATTGATAAATTTCCTTTTCATTGATGCCAATAAAGAATTTTCATCATATGTTCTATTTGATCTGTAAAAATTTTGAAAAATTATACAGATTCTATTATAACTATAATAAAAAAATTAATTATTAGTAATAATACAATTAATTAAAAATATTATTTTAATATTATTATTAGCACCATTATTTTGAGTCTTCTTTAAAAAAATTAATTCTTTTTTAAACTCCTCAATTTGCAATTCTAATTGTTCTACAGTTATTGTATTATTTATAAATTGCTGATAAATTTTTCGAGATAAGCAAATTCTTTTTGCTTGAATGCTTTCTCCATGATAAGCAGTATCTTTCCCATTATTAAGCTTTTTGGATCTTTTTGGAGTATTACGATCATAACAGACTAGTTTATTGTAATGTTCTTGACATAATTCATTACCACCTGAAAATTAATATTTAGTAAAGATATTTCGGAACTTTTTGTATTTTAGTCAAAGTTTGTGTTTGTAATTTTCGAAATCTTTCTTTGCTTCCTTCACTTTTTTTACGACCACATACTACACATGGTCCTTTATTTTGATGATACATTTAAGATAATTAAACCTCCTAAAAGAAAGTGGATCTGAAAAAACTAAAAGTGGATCTAAAAGACGAAGTGTAAAAAAAATAGTGTTTTAAATGTAGTATTTTACAAATTTTCTAAGCACGATATTTTTCTTTTTTACAGCACATGTCGATCATAATAATTGGAAATTTTGTGATACATAATTAGCCAATAATAATGATTTTTAACTATGCTCCATATAACTGAGAAACTTGATGTTCTATTAACATCTTGATTTTTAGTAATCATATAATCCTAAATAATTTGACATATCATACCCATTTTTACTATGTATAGAAGATTCAAAAAATAATTAAATTTTCATGTATTATTAACGTATGATCAACGAAAATGATCGACAAATAAATGTGATAAAATTGATTATGTCCTCTATTTGATTTTTTTTTTAATATTTTAGCAAATTAATATTATCATAATGAGCAAAGATAAAGAAAAGGAATTAGAAGAAATTTTTGGAAACGATGCAGAAGAGCTTTCTGATGCCTTAGAAGACTTCTCTGATTTTGATGACGAAAGTTCTTTTATAGTTAACACAGATTCCGAAGACGACGTAAAAAAATCACCTGTTAAGTTAAAACAAAGAAGGGCATCTCCTATAGGTTCACCATCAATACTGGAGGGAGACAGAGACGAAGATGCATATTTTCCAGCACCTTCTTCAAATAAAAGACGTAAGAAACCAGAACAATCTCGAGTAAAGCGACAGAGAAAACGCCCTGAAAGGATAGAAAATCCAGGTGACTTAGATGAAGATGTAGCAGGAAATGTCGAACCCGCGTTAGCACCGTTAATGGCTTCTAAAGCTTTTGTTGATCGTGACTTTGATGAGATTCTACCAAAGAGAAAAGGCCGATCAAAAAAGACTGACATCGAGCTTGATAAAATGTATGATGATGTGGCCATGAAAGTTTACCAGCGCATGATGGAAGCTGGTGAAAAAGATCACTCTAATAATACACAAGGCGTCCATGCTTCTGAAAGGAATGAGATATTATCGTGGGTTATGGACAAATTGGAAAAAGCGTACCTTAGGGAATCATTGTTAGAACACAATATATTGGATGCAATCAGATTATGGCTTGAGCCATTACCAGATCGGTCATTGCCAAGTCATAATATTCAGGAAGATTTATTAAAATCTCTAAATGATGTAAAGTTTAACTGTGATTTTGCAAATTGTATTAAATATTTGATTTTAATATTTATCATTTTTTTTTAGTTTAATATCACGACCGACCTTTTAATAAATTCGAAAGTTGGTCGTATTGTATATTTCTATTCAAAAAGTCCTCGTATAAATTTCAATATTCAAAGACAGGCTCAGCAATTAGTTGATAAATGGGCCGGACCAATTAATGGACAATCCAATAATTACAGAGAAAAAATTATGAGAATGGTTCATGAAGCAAATTCGTGAGTTGAAAAAAAAAAAAAAAATTGAAAATTTAATTCTATTTTATATTAAGTGCATATATTTCATTTTTAGTGGATCATCTTTTCCAGTTGCTGGCACATTTGATGCAATTCCTACGATTCGTGGCGGTAAGCGTGATGACCCTTACAAGAACATCAAAAGGACTATGGCCCGATTGAGACGTACTGGAAAATGAATATGTTGGCAAGTGCATTTACATACTTCAAATTAATATTCATCTTCTTAATATACGTTACATATCTAAAATTATTTCTTGGAAAAAAAAAAATTAGGATGGTTCGTCAGTTTAGGTTTTCTTTTTGCAAGTTTGTTAGAACGAGTAATATTTCAAAAAAGTAAAATATATATATTAATTTAAAAATAATTTAATAATTTGGCAAATTTTTTTCTTTTTTGCCGTAGATCTTTTTAAAAGCTACATTCAATTTCGTTAAAATAAACTCTCGGTTCCAGAGACTTGCGTTCATATAACGGTATTTTTGATAAAATTTATCATACTTACTATGAATTTATATCAAAATTTACTATAATGAGCTTTGATGATGTTTTCGAAGAAATACGGAAATTTGCATAGAAATATTCACGTGATTTTGAACTAGACCTAATCTGAAAATCTATTTGTCATTTACATACAACTAAAATTTTAAAAATAAACGTATAATTATTGACAGTAATACATTCTGTAATGGAGTTTCCTTTTATTTGCTTAATATCATGTTATATATTGATTTTCAACATTCCGTTGATGTGATATTATCTTACCAAGTTTGTTTTTATTACTTAAGTAATAAATTATTATTTTCTGTTTATAAAATTATTATTAAAATTGATAAACATCGCTATTAATCTTTTTTCAGATTTAATAGATTAAGTATCTTGTCAAATTAAAGAATACAAGAAAAGACTTATTATATTATATAAATAATAAAAAAAGAATTTATAGATTTTTATGTAATTGAAAAAATTACAGTCAAAACGTACTTTAATATAATAATTATTTAGTAAATTCTTATTTAAAAAATTTTTGTTTTAAATTAAATAATATTATTTATTTACAATTTTATATTATATTAGTAAAGATTATTATATCAAATTCTAACTGTATTAAATAATTTAAATTTAATAAATAATCTTATATTATAAAAAAATAATAAATGTTTAAAATATTTAATTAATAATATTTTTATACAATTAGATCTCCATACAGTTATCCAATCAGTTTTTATAAAAATTGGTGATTTTACAGGTGTGACTATAATATGAAATCTCTGCACAATCATTAATATATTAAAAATCACATGCAGTAACTATCTAAAGATTTATAACTCGGCAAAATATTTTATTTTTAAGATTTTTAGTAGATGTGATTTAATTAGCTTAGACAAATTTATCTTGATTAACTCAATCTAACTTATTTAATTAAGTTTGGCTTATTTAAACAATTAATAATACTTGATCCAAAAATTAGATTCTATTAAAAAAATTATTATATTATATATTTGTTTTTGCAAAATCCTAAAAATCTCTTATATAACTCAGATTATTATTTTTTTTTTTTTATCAATATAGTACTATCAAAAGTTTATTAACTCATATTATAAATATTTCAAATAAATAAGAATTTAAAGTAAAAACAATAAAAAACAATACTATGACTATCTTTTATAGTTATATTATAAATCCATTTAGATTAATTAATCACTAGAATTTCTTTCTAAAAAACTAAAAAATCCTTATCTAATAATTAGATTATTATCAAGAAATTCAAAATAATATATTAATATTAAGTTAAAAGTCAAATTAAGAGAAACTAAAACATAAAACTATTGATGATTAAATTTTTTAAGTAAAGAATAGTTGTATAACTCTTTTAAAAATTGAAGATCATTTGAACTTTATTTTCTTCTTTTTTAACTAAATAGTAAAATCTTTTATCTTTCTCTACTTCAATTATTATGAGATCTAAATTTTATCTTAAAATTTAATGACTAGAAAATTAAAAATTCAATTATAATTAACTTTGAATTTAATGATAAAAAAAGCTTTTTCAAAAGATGTAATAATTTAGTAGAGAGGATTTCTTTTGCTAAAAGAATACATGATCTAAGATTTACTGAAGAATCTAAGAGGTTTAATAATTATTATTAGAATAAAACATATAAGTTATAATGATTATTATTTTTCTTAAGTTTATCTTTAATAATATTATTTATAAGCTTTTATACAAATTTATAAATTAATATAACTATGTCTGATATAATTAAACAGATCCATAAATTTTGATAATCTTTTATTTGTATTATACTGCATACAATGTTAATTTTTATAAATCAAAATGTTTGACTTAAAGATGGTCTCCATAATTATTTTTAAATTTCAATTGAGTTGCAACTTAATTGCATCATAAAAATATAAAAAAATTTAATTGTGTTACAAGTTGCAACTCAATTGCACCATTTTTTTAATTGTGATAATCATCTTTAATTTGACTTTTAATTTAATAATAATAATGAGTTCTTTTATTAGAAATTTTATTTTGAAAGTTTTTTTATCTTTTTATAAAAGATATTATAATAGTTATATTATCACTATTAGAAAAAAAAGATAAAAAAAATAGGTTGATCTATTAAGAAGGATATAATAGACATTACTAACTGAGAATTTTTGTTAAAATCTAAGAAAGTAAAGAACTGAAATGTTACATTCAGGTCTTTTCAAAATTTTTTTAAATAGATTTAATAAAAATATTTTGATAAACTAAGATGAATCTGCAAGTTATATAATTAAGATAAGTGAAGACTTTAACATTTTACTTTAACTAGTTCATCAACTTTATCATTATAAAAGTCACCAGAGTATTCTTTTATTTTAATAAGATATATTGATAATTACAAATCAATAATAATATAATTAATTATAATCTAAACTGTCTAGTTAGATAATATTTCTTATTTTAATAATAATATTTTTTTTGATTATAAAATTATTAAAACTATTAATTATAGTTTAGCTATTTAAGAAAATAGTAGACGAAGATTGTGAAGAATAAATAATAATAGCTAAAAAGAATACAAATAATTCAGTTTGGATTTAAATAAGTGAATTTAGAGTTATAGCAAAGAATGAGAATAAAGAAGTTGAGAAAGATCAGAATAAATCTATCTAAAACCTATTTTACATTCAATTAAAGATAGATTAATTAATGAATTAATAGTATAAAAAGGTAGGTATAGAAAGATTAATAGTATAGTATAATATATATATTTCTATAAAAATTTGCATACGTTTTTATTATTTTAAATAAATTGTATATATGTTTTTTGAAATTTATATCACATTTCCTTATTTTTTTTTTTATAAGAAATTATTACTATTTTTAATAAAATATAATTAGCTAATTAATATAAGTTGCATGTGACTTTATAATATAATTATATTATAAAGTCATATACGACTTAATCTAGATTATAAAGGCAACTTCATAGTCTACTAGTGGCTTTATAATATAATGATAACTTTATAGTCAACTAGTGACTTCATAATATAATGGTGACTTCATAATATAATAGTAGCATTATAGTCTATCGGTAACATTATAGTTTATTGATAACTTTATAATATAATAATAACTTCATAATATAATAGTAATATTATAATCTAATTTCATAATCTGGTGGTAACTTCATAACCTATTATTTATACTTTAATAATGACTTAATAATCTACATATAGGTAGCTCCTTTGCATTTATAGTATTGTTTCATCTGCTTTCTGTATAATATGATGGTAACTTCATAGTCTAATAGTAATTGATAGTGTTTTAATTTAATGATAATATCATGATCTAATAGTGACTGTTTTTTTCTTATTCCTAATCTGTTTACATAATAAAATCTATATTATTAGTTCTGACTTTTCAGTCTTCTTTGAATACCTAGTTCTATAATAAGGATGTCAGCCCTCTATGCTAGTTTAGATACTAGTTTTTTATTAAAAATTTGCGCTTATTTAGTTACCTTTCTAGATGCTAAAACAGTGTAAAAAAAGGTGACAGATAGCACAGTAGATCTGTAATTAATTTTAGCTAGTACTATACCATAATTTTAGCTGATTTTTAGGCATGTGATTTAAGGATCTAGCTTAGCGTCATGATGATGACTTGATAGTACTATAATAGTATTATTTTATCAAGAACCTGTTCTAATACTTTTGAAGTCTGCCCGTTCTGAAGCATTTTAGCCAACTTCTTCTGATGATAATGTGCTTTTAAATGGTACTTATTTATATGCAAATTACAAAACCTATATTTAGCTATTTTTTTGAGTGTCTTAGGATAGAAATTTTACTAGATCACTTTATAAGGCAGATTTTATTATAGGAGAAAGTATTCTTTTTCAATTTAACTTATTCTTGTATTATCTTTCCTAAGTTCTCTAAGTATTTTAGTAAAAATAAAGTTCTAGGGATAAAAATCAAAATATTTTATGTATAAGATATATATTATATATGTATATGATATATGTATAGTATATACTGATATGCCTATAGATAAAAAATAAAAATAAAAAGTAAAGAAGTCTGAAATTTTTTAGGCTACCTAGGACACTTAGAGTAGACCATTTGAAAAATGTTCCTTCTGTTCTGAAAATGAAAATTTGCTATTTTTCTCCTGCCTCTGAAAGTCAAAAACTTTCTAAGGCAGATTTTTCTAAGGCATTTAACTTCTTCCTATGGTAATATATTTTTGAATAAAACTTATCTACATTGTCAACAGAGCAATTAACCAGTCATAATGAAGTTACATGAATGACGCAATATAACGATCTTTTAATTCAGAATTCTGAAAATACTGAGAATTCTGCAAATTCTGAAAATACAGAGGATCTACATAATTCTGAAGATCTTCCAAATACTGATAATAATCATAATTTTACGAATTAAACGAAATCTAAGAATATTTAGTGTTATATGTATTTTTAATATTCTAAATTTTATTATTATTTTTATTTTATTTTATATTTTTA